CTGAGAGGAGTGCTTCACAATTTTTTTTTTTAACGGATTGTTTTGGTAATTCAACCATAACTTTGGCTACGGTTGTCAGAATCGTGCCCATGACTCCAATTCGGAAAGCTTTTTTCGACGCGCACGTCATGGCCACCTCGCTAGGCTGGGTGGACATCGTTTTCGAGGTCAAAATTCACTATTTTCCCTTCCTCTTCATTTACACGTTTGATGTTTGTTTAACTATTTTCAATATTCATTTAAATCATTTGACATGTCTATGATATAGTGCTCGAAATGAGTTTCGATGTAATATAGAAAATATATTTTTTTATACATTTTACGTAAAGGAATTAAGAAAAGTAGGGCGATAATAATTTTATTAGGAATTTTTATACCAAAAAAAAAAAAAAATTTTACGCAACATCTATAAAAAATATATTTTCTATATTCTATCAAACTCATTTCGAGAATTATTATAAACATATCGAATGATTTAAATGAATATCGAAAATAGTTAAACAAATATCAAACGCGTAAATGAAGTCCAGGGAAAATAGCGAATTTTGACCTCGAAAACGATGTCCACCCAGTCTAGCGAGGTGGCCACGACGTGCGCGTCGAAAAGAGCTTTTCGAATTGCGGTCATGGGCACGATTCTAACAACCGTAGCCAAAGTTATGGTCGAATTACCAAAAAAATCCGTAAAAAAAAAAAAAAAAAAAAATTGTGAAGCACTCCTCTCAGCACTCCGCGCAGCGCGGAGTGTCTAATTTTACTCTTCTTCTTCTGTTTGCTTTTTTGCTTTTTTTTTTTTTGTTTTTTTTCGGACTTATTTTTTTTCTAAATTTATTATTATTATTTTTTTAATTTGGCTATAAGTTTTGCTACAGTTATCGAAATTGATTCCATGACCCCAATTCAGAAAGCTCTTTTCGACACGCACGTCATGGCCACCTAGCTTCGCTTGGTGGACATCGTTTTCGAGGTCAAATTTCGCCGTTTTCCCTTCCAAATCCCCAATTATAGTTTGACGTCAAATTTAAAAAATGCGTATAACTCGTCATTTTTTTTAAACGCAACATCTATAAAAAATATATTGTCTATATTTTATCTAACTCGTTTCGAGAACTATATTATGGACTCATCGAATTGATCTAAATGAATATCGAAAATAGTTAAAATTATATCAAACGCGTTTCTTAAAAAGTTTACAAAAACTATATATTAATAGTATAATTAAAAAAATTAAAATTAAAATTAAAATAAAAGAAAAAACTTGTCTGTGCAAAGTCAACAACTGTGGGCGCAAGTGACTATTAAGCCCTCAATGTGTTAATTAGTGTAGGGTGGGATTTTCAAGGGTAAAGTGGGAAAACAATGTAAAGGAGGGAAAAAAAAGAACAGGACAAACTACTGTAGCAAAATCGGATAAATTGGAATCAAGTGTGAAAACGGTTGTGCCATAAATGAACAGTAACAAAAGTCTCTCTTTTAAGAGATAAAAAAATTAAAATTAAAATTAAAAAAAAAATTTGTCTGTGCAAAGTCAACAACTGTGGGCGCAAGTGACCATTAAGCCCTCAATGTGCTAATTAGTGTAGGGTGAGATTTTCAAGGGTAAAGTGGGAAAACAATGTAAAGGAGGAAAGAAAAAAAAAAGAACAGGACAAACTACTGTAACAAAATCGAATAAATTGAAGTCAAATGTGAAAACGACTGTGATATAAATGAACAGTAACCAAAGCCTCTCTTTAAAGAGAGTAAAGATATACACACACATGAACAAAGAAAGAGAAGTGAGCTGTAGGCTATTGGTTAATATATATATTTATATATACACGGTAGAGGTCTTTGGGGGAGGAATTTATTGTGGCAGCAAATTGAAGGAAAAAGTGGATATTTTTTGGAGACAAAATCATTGAAAAAGGCAGCCAACTTGGTGAAATTAATAAGGCAGCAAATTGGCGTCGTTCTGGAAGAAAAATGAGGCAGCTGAGGGAATTAGACACACACTTGGGCGGCTGAAAATTGAAGAAAAAGGCAGCGTTCATTGGAAAATTAATCACTTGTCGTCAAATTTCGATGATGTCCTTCCACTTTTATTTGATTAATTAATTCTAATATGGTGTTAGGCTAAATCTTTTCATATAGTGGACGAAAGACAATATTGTTTAATTATTAGTTTTAATTCAAAACTTGTGTTTTTATCTTAATTCTTGTGTCGTGATTTCATTAATATGCCTATTTAATTATTTTAGTGTTTGCACACCATTAGGACAATAAGTTGCTTATTCGTAGTGTTGGAAAACTCACGATTGGTAGAAACACTATTATTGGGACACAAGGGCAATAAATGTTAGGAGTAATATTTGTGATGTGTGCGATCATATGTGATAATCCTAAATGTCAATGCATGTTTGCCAAATGAATTCGGACTAGGAATAGAATCGTCTCGTGGTAACCATATGTTTATTATATATTGGGAAAAAATAATAAATAAAAGTGAAATTATCGATCGTCGCAATTACATGAATTAAGATAATTATTACTGATTGAGAATTAAAACTAAAAATTGATCAGTAGCGTCGGAAATTCAATAACATTTGATTTTTAAACCAATTATCATTGTTTTTCCACGTTTTAGTTATAAAAATTATTTAGCTACTCATTTGATCGTCTTTTGGTTACAAACACGAATTTAAATATATCAGACACCACTGTACTTACGCTCTATAAGTCCAACCATAGCAACTGAATACAGTGTATCCGCTAAAATTGGTGGCAAAACGGAATCACAACTGCTCCCTTGAGTAATGTTCTGAACCGACCTATAGCCTATCACAAGAGGCACAGTACCAAACTGAATATTCATCACGGTACTAAACTTGTCCCGATGTCTCTTAACTAGCTCTGTACTTCCCAACAAGATGTACAACTGAGACTTCTTCCGTTCCTCCAATACAACTCGAACAGCCATTCGGACCATTAAAACTCCACCTCCATAAGAGAATTTATACCATTTTGCATCCAAAATACTAAGTGAGATGAGATTCTTTTTTAAGTATAGAACATGACAAACCTGATCAATTGTTCTGACTATCCCATCCCACAACACAAATCTGACTTGATCGATCCCAACAATACGATAAGCCTGGTGTTTCTCATTACAACTTCACCTTACTGAACAGCCTTATATGTCTGAATTGGAATACATATGATGCGAACATACCGAATCGAGAATCCACTCCTCGTCAAGCCTAGATTTCACATTGTATACCACGGTCAACATCACATCTCTACCATCTGAAAAATCATCAACTACATTTGTTTCGTCTGAAGTCAAAGGTTGTGCTCCACGATTTGTAGTTAAATCACCTTTAACTTGAAACTTATCACAATCTTTTCGAATATGTCCCTTACATCTGCAGTAGAAGTAAAACAAAATGTTGTTATTCTTCGATCTGCCCATTCGTCGACCACCATCAGACACAAGAGCTTCCTCATCCCTAGATGTAGCTCCAAACAAATGCTTCAACTTCTCCATTGAGTGCAAAGCATCATAAACATTGTCTATAGTCAAAGTATTTCGACTATACAAAATGGTATCCTGAAACTACGCATAAGAGCCGGGCAGTGAACATACAGGATCAAGGCAAGATCCTCTTCATCGTACTTAATCTCCAACGTTCCAAATCTACAACAATTTCCTTGAACACGACAATATGGTCTTCTAACAACCCTCCTTCCACCATGGGATGGGAATACAGCTTTTACTTTAAAGTCAGTTTACTGGTAAGATTCTTGATCATACCAAATTGCTCCAATTTTAACCACAAAACAGCTGTCGTTTTCTCCTTCAAGACATCCTACAAAATATTGTTGGATAAATGAAGATAAATCAACAATAAAGCCTTCTGATCCCTCCATTGTGTAAATAACTGGCATCTTTTCAAAACCCAGAAACACATCATCCAAATCAAACTGCGCCAAAATAGCTCTCATCTTTACCTGCACCAAAGAAAACCTTGTATCGCAATTCAATTACAGAATATCATACTTCAAAGGAGTAATTTCTAAAAAACCTCAACCAATCCACAACGAGAATCAAGTTCTGATATCACTTGTTGGACCCGTAGAGATTGTAATGAATGAGATTAATGACACGATATGAAGTAATGAAGATCACAACAAGAAACAAGATTTAAAAGGAAATAAGTTAACAAAGAGAGTTTATCGCAGAAGCACAACGTTTTATTAATCGTCAATATGGAGAGAAATACAAGAACTCAAAAATTCTTGTATAAACAAAACTACTAGATGAGAACACTATTTATATGTACATAGCATAACATAAAGATAGAAATAATGTGAAATACGAAAATAATATGTTTACATAAATATCACGTGATATATAAGGAAACAATTTTTTTCACATGTAAATAAGGAAACAGTTTATTTCGAAACAATCACCCTAATTTGGGTCACAAACCCAACAAAAACATATAGAAATATGCAATAAAGATATTAATAACCTTGAAAGTATTAATAGAACTTCGAAAGATTTAATATCTATTAAACGTCCATATTATGTTTCCTTTAATTTATTTTTGTCACACATTATATGCGATTCATAATTTTTAACTTTTTAATTATATGTTTCATCAACTTTAATTAATATTTATTAAGTTCCTGTTTGGCTTTCATTATTTGGATTTATAATGATGTGAATAATGTTTTTTTGAAAAATGAATGATTGTAAAAGAAAGAAAAGTTTTCAATTTATATGAAAGAGAAAAAATTAAACTAAATTGAAGAATTTTAAAGTGGGTCAAATAGGGCTAAAAATCTGATTTCAGCTAAAAACAACCCAGGGCCTACGCTCTTTCACTGTCCACAATTCAAAAAAACCGAAATCTTTCGAGTCCCTCCGGCAAACGCTTCACACGTGGGAAGCAGAACTAAAATTTTGTGGGCCTTGACCGAAATTCGAACCCTAAAAAGCAGAGAAATGAGAATTGCATTAACCTTTCAAAATTCAAAAAAGTGGCGCTTTTATCTTCCTCTCTCCACCCCTAACATCTCTGGCTTTTTACGGTCACCCATTTCTCTTTCCAGCTAAGAAGTAAATCCCCAGTTAAGTGTTCCATAAAGTAGTTTACTTTACTCATCAATGTTTGATCTTGTAACCACTTTTCGTATTTAAAAGCAGCTTTTTTAACTTGGTCTCGTTTGACCCCATTTTTTGAAAATAAAAATGAGTAGAATAGTATTTTTTAAAGAAAAAATAAATGGTTGAAAAAGAAGTAAAAATTTTCGATCTACATTTAATATTATTTATGAAAGATTATGTGATTGAAAATAAGAAAAAAAATGAAATCTAATAAAATTTTATTAAATGAGATTCAAACGGGAGCTTGATAACTTGCGATCAGCATTGAACATTACAATTCTTTGTGCATTTAGGGGCTCTGAAGATACATCTGGTAATCAATGGCAAATGAAAGCAGTGCCAAAAGTTATGAAGATGCTCGATACCAGACACTTTTAGCCAACAAAAGACGATTGGAGGTAGTTTATGCTTGACCTCTTCTCCCGGAATGAAATCTCAGTTTTTCACAACCATGCTATTTTAGCGATGTCTTTCAAGAAATAGATTTGTTTAAATTAAATGTAAGAATTTATCATTTCTTGTCAATTCATCTAAAGGATTTGGGGATCTTGAAGCTATCTAAAAGCCTATCTGATCTCAAAAAAAATGACGAGTCCCAGGTAACATTTGAGCTTTTACTACCTAGTTCATGCCCATAAACAATGTTTCTCCTTAACCTTTCCACATTATGCTATGTAGCTTCGGCATATTAGACCAAAACCAACTACTATTTATTCGTCAGAGCCGAGACGCTCAACTCGTGCACGCAATCCAGTTACATCATACCGTGATGATGTAAGTCTTGATGTTTCTGAATTTCTTTTGCTTCTGAACGAATCCAATTTGACAAGTAAATGAAAATTTTAGAAATATAATTCTTGGATTTCTGGCAACAATTTTCAAGGTTTAATAAATTTTTTGTACATTGATCAAATATTTATGTTGATTCCCTTTCTATCAATGTTTCGTTATCCATTTGGCAAATCTGAAAAATGTAGTTTTCTTGATGACAGAGCTTATTTGTTTCTCTTATTCTCCCCTATTAAGTATAAAGTTGTTTTAAATTCCTGAACTTGGAAAAAGAAAGGTATTCTGTTCCTCATATTTATTTTCTTGTTGAAAATCGTCATTGTCACAGGTTGCGGTCGAGCATCTTCCACTGCGTAAGAGAACAAAGTTGAATTCCTCATGGACAACGTAAATGTTATGGGTGATTTCAACAATAATATCACGATATTTAATTTAAGTTATGCAGTTGCGATTAACGATTTGGACTGGCAGCTATCTAGCACGGCCGGTGGAAGAAGTTAGAACTGCTACGTATGAAGAAAAAGCTCAAGCTTTGAAGTGTGCAGAGAAGCGCCAAAGCTATCTAGATTCTGAAAATCCATCTTTCGTCAAATCAATGCTTCGATCTCATGTTTATAGTTGCTTCTGGTTGGTAAGTTACAGTATATTATGGTGCTAGCAAAATTTAGAACTTCATATTATGTTTGCTAATTACTCCTTTTGATACTATAAATAGGGGCTTCCGACTAAATTTTGTGAGAACCATCTTCCCAAAACCACAGTAGATATTGTACTAGAGGATGAAGAAGGCTCAGAATATGAGGCTATTTACATTAGCAAGAGAACTGGGCTTAGTGGAGGATGGAGAGCATTTGCGTTGGATCATAAACTGGATGATGGTGATGCTTTAATATTTGAACTGATTGAACCCACAAGATTTAAGGTTTGTTTATAATTATAATTGTTGATGGAGTGGTATGACTATGATAGTTCTCAATTATCTTGTGGTGAGAGTGATTGTGTCATATCCTACAGGTTTACATAGTTAGAGCACACGAATGTACAAATCAAGATGATGAAAACCCGGTTGCAGAAGTTGAGAGTAATGCTGAGGAAACACCTAAGGAGGTCAAAAAGCGTGGAAAGAAGAACTATTCAAGAAAATCTAAGAAAGAAAAATCTTCACCAGTTCTTGCCACCAGACGGAGTTTGAGAAGAAAGTGAATCTATGTTGATCAAAAGACTAAAATGTAAGTTATTGAATTCCAAGAGTGGTAATTGTGAAAGACAATAGAACTGGCACTTTATGGGATTATCAGAAATTTACTGGAAGGGGACAAATGATGAATTTACTTGTTTTGTGTCACTTGTTGAGAATGGCTAGGGGTGTCAACTAGGAGTCTGGGATGGCTTAGGCTTGGCCTGTCTAGAAAAAAAGTAGTCTCAACATGGCTCATGTTTTGTTACAGGCGGTCTATTCTAGTTTTACCCCTCTAAGAATGGCTTTTGTGTAGTTCAGAACAAGTCCATGATCATTAGTTTAGCAGCATATTTGTGATTATCAGAATCATTAGTGTTTACACCTCTAATCAAGTGGCTCATACTGTATTCAGATCAAAATGTTTAAGAAAATTACTACGATTTAAACAAAAGCTATCGTGTATTGCATTGATATTACTGAATCACTAAACAGATCATAATACAAATGAAACAAATTGACTGTACAGAATTTTGTCAACTTACCATTAATGGAAAAGGCATAGATGGGAAAATATGAATCTTATCTATATCATCACCTTGGTGTAATGGTGGGCATAACTCCGCTCACAAGATCACTACCTGAGATATCTTGTGAAACATATGGATGTTTTAGTGTAGAAGATGAAGATTGTGGAGTTATATCCTTCTCGTGATCAGTGACTATGGATTCAGATATCATGGTGTCCGACTCGGGCATCATAAGCCATATGTTTTCGAGTTCTCTAACCACTTCTGCCATTGAAGGTCGGGAATCTGTCTCGTCTTGACAGCACTTAAGGGCCAAATTTATGAACTTCTCCACGCATTCAGAGGGATAAGATCCCATCCCTTCATCGATAACAGAAAATATCGTACCCGAACGATATGCAATGTTGACCTACATAAATAGACAAAATATTAACTATCAACTGTTTTATAAACTCGAGTCTTCAATATATTAAGAGAACCTGCATTTTAAGAACCAGCCTGACAAGTTGGCCTGTTAAATAGCCTTTTAGCTGCAATTTTTTTCTGAAAAATGATAATTTTTTAAGACTGACCTTGAAATGTATCATGTTATTTTATTAACCTTAATATTTGGTGTTTGTTATCCTGTTGATGAAAATTAACTTATGTTTGTAAATTTCATTATTAATTACTTCTGACATCCCTTTGTCCTTGACTCTTTACCTCCTCTAACTCAATGCCTAGGCCAGAATCTAAAACATTTAAGAGAAACAACGAGAAAAGAACAAAACAATGAAATAGTACGATTGAAAAGTTAACATAATCGATGCTCCTTATTCTTTTTAACTATGAGAAAAATTGATGCAATGATAAGGTACCTCCCGAACAATGTTTTTCCCATGTGAAATAGGGTGCATTCCTGTCAATAGTTCGAGGAAAACAACGCCAAGGCTATAAACATCACTTTTGTCCGTCAGCTTGTGTGTTAAAAAATATTCAGGATCAAGATATCCCTGTAGTGATCAAGCATGCCCATTTTGAGTGATGAGTAAATTTATTTTGTTTGTCATGAAATTGAAATAGGAAAACAAAAGGAGAAAGTAATAACTGGATGCTGCATTTTCGAATAAATACTCAAAACTCTCTTGTAAATAACATTACCGGAGTCCCCTTTACAACTGTTGATACATGAGAAGGCACACCTCCTTCAAACTCGGGAACTGGAGCTAACCGTGATAGTCCAAAATCAGCAACCTTTGCAGTAAACTTAGGGTCTAGTAATATGTTGGTTGCCTTGATATCCCGATGAAATATTGGAGGATTTGCCTCCGTATGTAGGTAAAGAATGCCTTTGGCTGAACCCAGCGCAATTCTTATTCTCATAGCGAAACTCAAAGGCAATTTGGACTTCCCTGCAAATCTCAAACATTATAGTCTTGTTAAAGCAGCAAAACTTTTCTATTGCTTTTCTACTTTTGGACACGCTAGAACACTTAAATGGACTTGAGGAACACAAGCTTAATAACACTTTTGGAATCAAAATATAATTCTATAACGAAAGGTTGGATTAAATTATAGGCAACAAAAGTTTGCCATTTGTGGGTTACACAATTTACATGTTATTTAGTATTGAATGTGGGTACATGTTTTCTAGTCTAGAGTAGAAGTAAAATTTCAATGTTTCTAATGTGCAGTCTCATACTTGTTAGAGACAAGAGCACAGACTAAGAGATCACAAAAATTGAAGAAATAAATGCAAAAGGTTGATTTGCAAAAGAAAACATTACCAGATAGGTGATCTCTCAAGTTACCATTAGACATGAACTCATAGATCAACATCTGCATAATTAAAAGTACAAAACATAAGTCATGGGGGAGACAAACTATTTAAGAAAGTAGCCTTTTGAAATGAAATGTCAATACTTCGTGTTGTGGCCCAATCACATGCTTTTCTTACAATTTTATCACGTTGTTTCTTATAGGGAGCAGAGGAAATCTTTTGATCGTTACTGGGTACTTAACATTCTCTCTTGGTGTCAGCAATGCAGCATTTTTAAACATTGTTTGGCTAAAGCTTACAAATAAATAAATTACTCATTTCCAACTTTTAACCAATAAAATATAAGTTTTTTAAAATCTCATAAGTAAGCTTTTAAGCTTTCGTAAACATGTGCTACCACCTAATCTGTAATTACACATCCATTTTCAGCTAAGTTATTTATCCTACATGATATTTACATAAAGCCGGATCTTAAAGAGACAGCTTAAAAATTATAAAGAGAATGAAGGTATGCCAAGAATCTGCTAAAACCTCCAATCCAAACCCAAACAGGCCTATTAGTAAGTGAATGATCTTATATAAAAATCAGAAATTGAACCACTGAACTGAACAGTCAAACTCCAACTCAAAGTTGTGAAGTTTACTTTTGACCAACTGTAGAAAAACTAAATATCTTATTGGAGTACCTGTTCACCTTCTTCATCACAATATCCCATCAATTGCACGAGGTTTCTGTGATGTAACCTCGACAATAGTTCTATTTCTGTGAAAAACTCCTTTTCACCCTGTAATGATCCCTCCTCAGCCCGCTTTATGGCTACAACTGTTCCATCAGCAAGAATACCTCTGTAAACTTTTCCATAACCTCCTTGCCCCACAACACTTGAGTTTGCAAAATTATTTGTTGCCTGCGCCATTTCACCATAAGTGAAATCTTTCACACCATCGATTCGGATGGAAATTCTTGATGCTGCATTCGATGTAAAATATTCAAATAGTTGAATAAAGACTCCCCCTCTTTAGGTCATCAAACATGTATAAATAAATGCGTGTATAATTCTGTGTACACATTTATATATCTACATTTTTCTGCTGATAAAGATAAAGAAACATAAAATAGGAAAGGGAAAATAAAGTTCTACCATGTAATGTGGTAGTGAAGAATTTGACCCCAGAATGCTTGACCATATAGTACACAACACATTGAGACCAATGGAAAAACGTGAATTCTCTAAATGGGTAATAATAATAATTTCCTCTTACTCTATATGAGTTTTGAAACAAATGCAGTCTGCAAGATTTTAGAACACTTCCATACTGAAAAACTGGCAAATTCATTACTGCACATGTTTGCAGGATCTATATTACGTTAAAAACTTTAACATCATTTTATGAAGAATTAATGCCTTGGGGTCTTCTTTTACATTTATTTTACGTCATTTAGCCCTTGTTTGAGCCCCATTTTTTTCATCAAAATACATTCTTGAACAGTATTTGACCCCACTTCAACTACACATTTTTAGTAAAATAATATTACATGTAAATCCATGACTTTTCTTTATTTTTTAACCACACATTTCCCATCAATACACTATTTAAAAATTCATTTTTTTGACAAGAATGAGGCTCAAACAAGGGCTTAATGCAATCCTCTGTAGTGTACCTTTGTTTTTAGAGCTAAATGTCATACCATATTTCTTGATTATTCCTGTAAATACATGTAAAATTTAATAAAGTAACCCTTTAGTGTGGTTAAACATAAACAACGCTAAAGATGATTTCTACTCCAAAGGAAAGGTAAATCTTGAGGAAAACGGAGAGCATATTTCGAAAGCTGTCAACTTTTAGGTTTACATTCAATTCAAGTAATAATTTACTGAAAATTTTATTGTCCGCAAAGCATCTAATAACTATGATTTCAAAGTAGACTCTAGAAGTCTTGACACAAAGGTTAAGATACATATGTACCTACTAATACCTCCGAATTCAGGAAGTGTAAGATACTCACATGGACGTCTTTTTGAAGTTCTATGATGTTTCTTCATGTGCATTTTCAAGATGAGAAGTGCCACGAAGGCAGAGAGGGTAACTGATCCAGCTATTGTCCCCAGTATGATCCCAGCTAGTGCTCCCTTGCTTATACCAGATGAAGATGAGGATGATTCTGCAACAAAGCCAAGAGTTAAGTGCATCTTGAAATTAAGTTTATGCAACATAAAATTTGGCTTCTTAGCATATAGAACGTTAGTGTACAAATAGATTATTGCCAAATGAGCTTAATTTGTTTTTTAATGAAAAAAGCCCCCTAGTTTAGGATCCATATCAACTACAAGCAGCCTATTGTACACGATCTTCCCACATGTACAAAATAATACGGGTGTGTGTTGCATAAATGCATGTATACAGGAACACTAATAAAATAAAGACAAAACAGAAAAGTATAATATTCATGCTTCAACAAATATGTAATAGATAGACGAGCCAAATAACCATGTTTTTAACAAAATGTAATGGTATCTCAACATTTGACAAATTATAGGTCAAAGCTTGACCCATTCAAAATTCGAAAACACGATTTGATTAGTGTCTGATTTTCTGGTTTTAAACTTGTTACAAAATGGCAAAAGAATCCACAAAGTATGGTGTGTGGAACCTTATCCCGGATTGGATCATATGGTGTGTGTGGAGAGAAAGAAACAATCGCTATTTTGATGATCAAACACAGACGACAATGCAGATTAGAGAATTATTTTATTTGACATTGTATACTTAGTTTAATGCTACGGCTACTAGGCACATAAACATCTACTCAATTTCATGTTGTTCCTTTTTTATTTAAATTGATAATACACTTCCCGTGTATTATGCATTGATTAATAAAATATTTGATTACCTTTCAAAAAAAGAATCCACGACAGTTAGCAGAATACATTTTTCCCTTAAAATCTCTTTTTGGAAAATTACCTATGTTAGAAATCCAAACTTTAGAAGATATAAGCCCTTTCTTCCAATGAAGATAAAGCAAATACCGCGACTACATGACTACCTTTCGTTCATCTAATTCAAAAGTAAACATGCAAATGAGAAAGGAGACGGACCATCTCTGTAAGGATCCAGAAGTGTGAAGTTGAGAAGCTCAAAAGGTCCAAACACTTCGCTATCGGGAATATTCCATCCACTAAACAAGCTACGAATTCTTCTGACCTCGCTTCTATTAAATAAAAATGTGCTATTATTAACATACACGGGAAAAATCTTCAGGTACATTCTCAGTCGAGGTCCCTTTTGCCATTCAGCCGAATCAATGTGGAGCTGATAAATATTCAGTTTCATACCAGTACTTAAGTACTCCTCAAATCTATCAATATACGGGCGAAAATCTGAAAACCCGGGACTCTTCAAGCGATATCCTACCAGCAGAGGTGCAGCACAAAAGCAAGTTGAATTGGGAGATGGTGGGGCTAACTCATAAGGAGGTGGGCATGACATTAAACACGCACGGGCATCTGTTTTATTCAAGATATTGCTGAAACCTTCGTCTTGGGATCCACAGAACTGAACAAGGTTTCCTCTTAAGCATATTGGATTTCCGCGGAGGCTGGAAATGTCATAGAAATAACAAAGGCTGAATGAGAAAATAACATCACCAGATATCACTTGCTGAGACAACCCTTAATTATCTCTATTGTACAACCAGGATTTTCATTTTTATCTGGAAATTTGTTTAGTTTAGAACAGGGAAATGTCACTGCAGATGAAAGTGATGGGAAGGGACAAACCTAACGGTGACATTCAGAGGGAGGGCACGACTGCCAGATATATTTGAAAACATATTGTTCTGAAAATCCCTGCAATATAAAAAAGTGTAAGTAACATAATAAGTTTACAGATAAATAAAAAAAATTCAGTCAGTTCCCATTAGGCCATAAAGTTTCCAGTCTAATAAAAATATTGATAGTAGTATTCAATTTGTTTCAGCATGATCCCATGCCAGATAATAGACTCAAAACTCATGTGCGAGGGGAGAGGGTAAATTCTTTTCCTCAGATGGAGAGAGGGGGTAGGGAGGGGAATTTCTTTCCCATGTCAATCTTACAAGAACAGTCTCTCAGATTCATTAAGAGTCCTATTTTGCCAAATGGTGGATGGAACAGAACCACTCAGTGAATTGTTTGCCAGTGACCTGCACTTGCAGAATAAAATATCTTTAATCCAACAAATATATTGCAAGGTAAGAAACAAGAGAGCTAAATCTTGGGCGCTAAGTGGACAAGTGAATGCCAGCTGGGAGACGAGATAAATTTAAGACACAATCATTTCAGTACATAAAATTGAAGAAAGCTCACAATTTCTGCAGATACGGAAGCCTAGAAAAGCTGTCAGGGATAGTCCCATTTAGATTGTTGTAGGATAGATCACTGCATAATTAGAATTTAACACATTCAACCCCAAATGTGGAAACTTAATCCCTTTTTAATTCAAATTAGAAATGTCGTTTTGAAGTAATACAAAAGAATTAGCAAAACAATCAAAAATTCAGTGCTTACACAGTAGTGATATTCTCAGAAAGGTCGCCCGCTGGTATCGATCCATTAAGCTGGTTTAGGCTCAAATCTCTGAATTGAGAGCATGATCAATATTAGAACCCCAATTAACAAGTGCATTAACTTGAAACCCAATGACCAGAAAATTGTCAAGAAATCAAATAAATACTTCTTCTGCACCATTCATATTCACCTCAGCTAAGAAGATGCCATTTAAAACAGGGAAATCCACAATTCAAATAAAAGGCCGGCACTTGACACCATAAAGATATGTCCATAGTGATTAGTAACCAACATTCTAAAACCTTGTGCTTAATGACTTACATATATGCAATAGAAGGCATACTGCTCCAGTTAGGAATTGGTCCTTGTAAATTGCAATTTCTTAGACTCCTGAAACAACCAGCAAAATAACAAAATATCACCAACCCTAGCTCGAATAATTGTAGTACATGTACCTAGTATCCATGAATGGGTCCGTCTTTGATTGAAACTAAAGAGCTTCCATAAAAAGCTAAACAGTTTCCAAGTTGAGTAGATATTCACATTTTAGAGATAAAAGTTCCATGACTTTGGGATATTTAATATGCACAATTTAACTAAGAATAGCAACCATAAACCATATTTTAGAGCAAAAATGAAGATTTTATGCACTTACATTTTCAACAGAAGAGACATGTTGCTATACGAAAGAGGTATTTCACTCCCGTCGAAGTTGTTATTATCTAGTTGACTGAAAAACAAAGAAATAGAACAAGAAGCAGATATAAAGTTAGAAAACTAATACATACATTTCCTGTGCACTGAATTTTACCAATCAATGGTCAAAGTAATATAGATACTGAAAAACAAAACTAAAATAAGAAGAAACAACTTAGTTGCACGTGTGGTGACATTTACCAGTCAATCCTCAAAGTAATATAGATGATGTTCTTTTAAAAATAATAATAATAACAAGACAAACAAAAATAATAGCATATTGACGAAGAATAGTTATTAGTTAGAAACCCAATCTTAGAAAGTTAGAATGGAGCAAGGGACATAAGGAACTGTGGCACATAACAAAGACATTCAAGAAGAGGCGGTGAAGCAGATTTGAAAAGGCTTCCAAACTTTTTGTAAAGGTAAAGATTGGTGTATATACATCCTTGAGAGCTATTTCAGCGTAAGCCTGTAGCCATTGTTTGAGACAGACAAAATTTGAACATTTTTGGTTGCATCATGCATTTAGTGCATGCATATGCTTGTTTGAGAAATTGATTACAAGTAATATAATGGTATCCTACCAAGCATTGAGTATGTGCATGCGCATTTTGTTATATGAGAAACTCGTTATAACTAAATTTGTAGCTTTATAGCAACAAGTGACAATGATAAATGAATACAATGTCATATATACCATGCATGTATAATTATATCAAAATCTGTAACTAGAAAAATAGGCGAGTTTTCCATTGGGCTCTCAATCAGTTC